TTGAGGACCAAGTGAAGAGCACCACATAAAGGCAGGATCTCCAAAGATGAGGACATCTTGCTGAATCAGTGACATCACGGTGTGTGAAGGGAGAACGTGAGGATGCTTGACTGTCTTGGCCATGGCTTTGGGTATAGCAGACAGAAAAGGAAAAGTCCTCATTCATAATTTCTAAACACAAATCCTCTTTTAAGCAGATTAGGGGTCAAAGCTTAAGTGTATGCTGTGGCCCTAAAGGCTTCAAGCTGAGGCTTTAGCTGGTAGTGGCCCCTGATGTGTAGTCCCCAAGTACCTCGTAGAAGGAAACACAAACTCTGGAGCAAAGAGCCTTGAGACCTATCCACAGAGACTTTCTTCAAGTTCAAAAAAATGTGAATTTAGAGTCTCAAAATATCATAAAGTATTTGAGCAGGCAAGCCTACAGTATTGACATTAAACAGGAAGTCAGACAAATGATAGATGCCCACAAAGACCGTATATACAGGACTAATCGGGAAGGAGAATATAAAATAACCATGTTTATAGTGTTCCAGAGACAGTTTTTGAGATGAATGAGTCAAAGAGCAGATTTCGTGAAGCTGGAGAGCAAATTGTTAAAATGGAACATTGATATGAAAAGATACTCCGAATTTATTGTATTGATAGAAATTTAAAAAATATTAAGGTAAAAGTAAGAGATATGGACAACAGAGTAAAAATAAATAAGTTTAATAGGAGTGTTATGCTTGTCTTTGCTTTCTTTCGGGGGAAGGGGAGACAGGCAACACCCAGAGAGACAGTGGCTTAACAGTTTTCCGAAACTGATGAGAGACACCAGTCTGTAGTGTCAATAAATTACACGTAAAAGAAATAAAAGTAAATCTAAATGTAATTCAGGAGTGTACTGTGGAAGGGAAGTCTCCTCCTTTATTAGCATGCTAAACTTTTTTAAAAAGTTTCTGGTATGCGGATGTTCTCTTGATAACATCTCTCCTCCAAATTTCTCTGTTTTATCGGCAAATCACACCAAAAAGGTCTAAAGGGTGTATGTGGTATTGGTGGTGGTCACCTCCATCTTCATTATGAGATGGTCACCAGAAATCACATCATTATGTGCTTTTTACTTTGCTTTTTTCAAACCCACCTGTGGTTAAATCATAAGCGTTTTCCATATTGTTAAATGGCTGTTATAATTATCGCTTTAATGGCTTTATTGTAACTCATCAAATTTATTCCATTATAATTTCCTTAGCCATTTCTTCCTTACTAGATATTTAGTATTTTATTTCCTTCAAATTTTGAGTATTATATATAATTTGACACAGTATATGTATTTTATGCATATAGCTTCACTTTTATTTTGAATCAGTCCCTCAGGAAAAATTTTCAGAAGTGGCATTACCATGTCAGATGTCATTGCATTTTGATATGTGCCAGCTTTTATCATAAGAGTCAGCACTATGTATCATAAATTTGAATATATTTCTACCCATTTGCTGGGTGTAAGAGGCATTTTTATTTAAATAATAAAATAAAATATTTTTTCCATGCTTGGTTATTAATTGCTTTTCTCCTTTTGTTCACCAATTATCAATATATATACTTTTTAAACATGTTTGTGGACCCTGTGTTTATCTTACCAATATGTAATTTTCTTAATTAACACAAATATTCCTCCCATATCTATGGTACTTAAAAATTGTGTGATGGTGAGGGTAGTAGCCAATTATGGAGACAAATGTACATGTGAATCAACTGTCTGGCTCCCCTAACACTCATTTCTAACACTGTTCTCACTTTCCTTTCTCTTTTAAAGTAGTTGAACAAGCAAAAATTCTGATTTCAGCTCCCAGACCATTTTAAAGCTGGAGTTGGCTCTATTACACAGCTCTGGCCAATAAAATATAAGCAAGAGTGTGCTGGTACCTCCATTCTCCATTTTCTCTTTCTCCTTCCTTGAATGATGTGCTGGCTGGAGCTATAGCAGCCTCCTTGCAATTGTGAGAAAACCTGGAGAATGACAGATACGGTAGTCCTGATTTTCTTAGGGCACTGAAATAATGCCATGAACTTTCTACCTGAAAACTTATCATGGAAAATAAAACTCCATTCATGTTAAAGTCACTATAGTCAGTCTTTCTGTTACTGGCTATGGAGAAAAAATCATAATTAACACATATAGGCTGAGAGGAGAGGAGAGTTGGGTCTCTGTTTTAATAAGACTCACTTTTAAAGTAGCCCAAAGCCAGCTTCATTTATGAACGTGTGACTGTAGACCCATGATAACTGATGCAAGCAGATCTCAGGCTTTCTAAATTTTGTCTACCTGTTTTCTGGATCATATCCAGAGATGTGAATGCATCCCTGAAGCAAAAATGAAGTATTTCACTCTTCGTGACATTTGGCAGTGGCAGAACATAATTAAAGACATTCATATACTTGCTACCCAAAAAAGCGAAGTTCCACTTGACAAATAGGATGTGTATCCAAGAGGCGGTACATTCATGCTTCTCCATAGCCATCCATGTAAGGCCATTGCTTATCCATTTCTCCTGTTTTGAAGATAAGCTATATTATAGGCTATTGGCTCCATGCCAGGAATCATGCTCGGTCCTTGCCTTTGAGGATTTCACTTCTAGATTGTGTATGGCGGTAAGAGGAGACTATCCATATCAATAAATTTTTTGGATACTGGGTGAGAGTAAAAAGAGTATATTAAAGAAAGATTCATAATGGAGATCAAAATGGACTAGGTGATTTACTCAAGACCACAAAGCCAGTAAGTGGTACAAGTTCCTTTAATACAGGTCTTCTCAACAAGTCTTTTTTAGAATACCAACCATTGCTTGAAATAAATGGACTGACATTTGGGATATGAAAATATTTTTTGTTATGAAATTGCTATCGTTTTGGCTGTTTTTTATAGAAGCTGACTTATACCATGGTGTTGCCCCTGACCTATCAAGATGGCTCATGCAATGAGATTTGTTTCCACCAAGGACTTGTCCTTCTTTTGACCTGTATGTTCTCTGCTATATGCTGGGGTTACACATATGTATCAGGCATCCTGCCTGCCTTGAGGGGCCAGATTTAGTTCATATTCTCCTTGTTTACTCTTTCTTGCCACCAGCGAGGTGGCTGATTGAGGAGGAGGGCATGGCCTTCGCTTTGTAACTCCCCACTCAGCTGGCCATTCTAGAAGGAAGAACAGCCAGGAAAATAAGGTGTAAGAACAAGGTTGGAACTTTAGCTCATGGAAAGAGACTGAGATGTTTCTCTCTTTAAACAGTGATCTTTTCTACCAACTTAAGAAAACTTGTTAAACATCTGTCTTCCCCTCCCATTTCTGTTGTTTACAGAAGAACAGACTTCCCTTAACTCTGAAGCAGTGTCTCCTTTCTTTAGGAAAACACGTGTCCAAACATGCAGCAAATCAAATTTTCAAACAACTTTGAAATAAGCTGAAATAGACCCACTTTCCTTTATCATTTTACCTAGAAATTCTTTCATGAGGCTGATAAATTCCCAGTTTGGAATTTTGTTTTCCATTGTGATGCTTATGACCAATCTTTTTGGATTTTTACTATCACATCTCTGTTTCCTGTATCACTGCTATTTGGATATGAGAATCTCTTTAAAAATAATATTCAACTATTAATACTTTTTCATTGAAATGAATTGTATTTATAGAGATAGAGAACTCAGGACTACGTTGAATTCTGTCATATTAGATATATTTGCTAGGCATAAGGAAGGAGAAATTGAGCTGATATTGACCAGCATTTTGTAGACCCTGGAATATCACCACATGCCCAAGCGTGTGGAGGGAAGAATTTTGATCTCATTTTTCAGATGAGAAAATTGGAGCTGATAGTGTTCATTAAGTCCAAGATCACACAATCAGAAAATGGTGAAGTCAGGATTCAAACCCAATTCCTATCTCATTTCAAAAACCATGCAGTTTGTACTTCATTATGTAATGGGGTCCTTCCTAGTCTTTGTATAACACTTTGTTGAAGAGTCAACTCATGATTCACTTACTAGTCCCTATCACTGTGTGCTCATGGATAAACTATCAGCTCCATGGGTCTAACTCTCCTTTCCCTGCGTAATGGATGAAATAGCAACACCCACCTCATATAACTTTAATAAGTATTCATTGAATTAAATGCATGTGAATGGGCTCAGAACAGCATGTGGCACCTAGTAAATGCTCAATAAAATTGTTTATTATTGTAGGTTGCTTCATGGGTAATAGCACAGAGTGAATATCATGGCTTTGCTCTCATGTACTATCACAGTACAGATTAAATAAATGCTGGTATTGTCCTTAAGTTTTGGTATTTATATATAAAGGATCTCCCTCATTCTTGTCCACTGGTTGACAGATTTATGAAAAGGAAAGGGCATCTCTTTTTTTTTTTTTTTTAAAGATTTTATTTATTTATTTGATAGAGAGATCACAAGCAGGCAGAGAGGCAGGCAGAGAGAGAGGAGGAAGCAGGCTCCCTGCTGAGCAGAGAGCCCGATGCGGGGCTCGATCCCAGGACTCCGAGATCATGACCTGAGCCGAAGGCAGCGGCTTAACCCACTGAGCCACCCAGGCGCCCCTGAAAGGGCATCTCTTAATACAGTCATTTACAATCTTTTGTTTCAACAGTGGAACCCTTTTAAAAAATACAGGTGGAAGCACTGTTGTTTTGATTAAAGAGGGGGAAGTGACTCCTGGAACCCCATATACCTCTCTGGACCCCTGCCAGTGTATTATTGTCCTTGGGTGGGGGAGGTTCCTTCTGGGAAACCCTGGATGACACATAATGCAGACTGAGAACTACCAATCCAGAAAGCACCCAGCAAAGCCCATTAGAGAGGGGCTGATAAATGCTATTAATTCTCAATTTCCATGATAGTCATGTGTCCAGGAGTTCTCCCTCTCTATTCCAAATTGTCTTCACTCCATTCCCATTATATAGTCTCTTCTGATGGTTTTATTTACCTGACAGGGTCTCCAGTTTGGCACCAGTGAGCTGGAGGAGATGGGAGCCATGTTCTGCTTGAGTTTACTCATCTTGGAACTCAAGTCCGTAAGCTGCAGCCGTCAGCTCCTGACCCGGGCCTCGACTCTCCTGAATGCGGTTGAAGAAGCCCTGGACCACCACCTCCAACGGTAAGTCGCTCACAGAGGTGGGAGGGAGGTTTGGACCTTGGTGTTCCGATTGGAGCCCATCTTGGAGATGACAGCCAAGTGGTCCTACAGGTCTTTGACGAGGAGACCATATGGAGGAGCCGCCAACTGAAGGTAAGGACAATGGTGGTCTACTGGAGCCAGACCCGGGGCATCCTCACTTCTTGCTGAACACAGGGAGGATGGTGCCTACTTATACACATAAAAGCATATATAAAGCTACGTGTATCTATAAACATGCATTATTCATACATTTTGCTTATGGTAGAGAAGATGCAGCTTAGCGAACACACACACATCGACCTATGCGTCTCTTGCCAGTAGTGTGTTTGTATATATACAGGCATCATTTCGGAGCCATTACTCAGCAAAAAAAGACAATCTCGTGGCCAACATCTAGGAACTTGGGGACAAGAAATATTTGACTCTCCCTGTTCTTAAAAAGCACTGTTCCTTCTTAGATCATGAGAAGAACCACCTGACGGTGATTTATATATTGGCCTGGAGACCGTGACTCAGGGCCACCGCAGGGGAATGAGGGATCTCCAATAACTGTGAGGATCATTCATGGTGTTGAGTCAAGAGAGGGAGAACCATTATCCAAATGAGCTCTTTCGATGCCCTTTACTATAGACAGATATTTTAGAATTGATCAAAACAGAAGCAGGGGGCAAAAAAGAAAGATAGAATGGCCGTGTGGGAGAAGAGAGGACCAAGAAAAGAGGAGTCAAAGAAGACTAAGTCATTGGCCATGCTTTGAGGCAGGGAATGGATGGGGCCTTGAGCTGCTGGGGGAGGAAATGGCTGCTGGTAAACCAGGAAGCATCTCCTCATGCCCTTCCGGTCCAAAGGCAGAGAGCAAGCCATTGATACTGGGGCTGTTTTATTTCTAGCATATTTTCATTAATCTTCTTCCTGCCTGTGTGAGGCTGTGGTTCCAGCATGATTTCTCACCAAATGGCCAGTCAAGCCTGGAAAGATCAACAGCGTAAATTAATTTTGCTTTGGAAGGTCCTGGTTTCTCTGAGACTTAATTACCTAAATGCAGTAATTAACTTGCTCATCACACTGTACTGTAGATCACAGTCCATGGAGACCTAAGTAAATCTGGACCTCTTTCCTCCCTCAAGACAATGGCCCTGATTTCTTTTGTTTTGACATCATCCCGACTGCTGTCCGCCCCTGCTCCTTTCAGTCCCGCTCAGCACCCCCAGGCGTGGCACGTTGGGCATCACAGTGGCGGGTCAACGTCTTCCCTCTGACAGCAAGTGCTTCCACCTGCCAGGATACATATTTCAACTTGTCTTTTCATCTTTTTCCTTTGCTAAGCTATGTTGGGTGCAGGCATGCCTGAATTTTCTTTCTTTCTCCGCCCCCCCCCACCTTCTTCTCTGCGGCTCATTGAGGGAAGATTGAGCAGACCTGGCATTGCTTGCTTTCCCTGAATTGATTGCGCCCGTCTGTTTGATCCAGTGCAGTGAGGATTAGTTACCTGCAAACTGGAACAAGAGGAAATCTGTCAAACAAGTGCCTCTTCTAATTCAAGTCTAAAGAATTTGGTGTTGAGCTTCAAATACAATGGCTGCTGTGTGGGTTGTCATAAGAAGATGGTATTTCCCGCTTCTCCCTGCCACCCCACCCTCCTGTTAATGTTTCAGTCGCAAGCAGCGCATGCTTCCTGAAGCTTGAAATCCTCCATGACCTCTGGCCCTCCTTAGGCTGGCGCAGCTTCTTAAGGGCAGGATACCTACATGCAGGATGTGATTCATGTGTGTGTTTTATTTATTTTATTATTTTATTTTTTTCATGTGTGTGTTTTAATTAGATTTGAATTCAGCTTAAGAGGCACTGAGTTTGGGTGCCGACGGCTGGATGGAATTTGCCCATTTCACCCAAATGTGTGTCTCTCAATCCGTCTTTCTGTTCATCCAGGCAGTTGATCAAAATAGATGTGGTTCCTGCCCAAAGGACCCAAAACTACCTGAGAGGAAAATCACCTTGAACCTATCTTGACCCAGTAAATATTCTAGCCAATAAGCGTATATCCATTAAAGGATGGCGGAGGGGAACTTAAATCTGTTGGTTTGCAATCAACAGCAGGCTGTTTGAGTACCCTTTGATTAGTTTCTGATGAATAGGGCTCCATCACAAGGTATAATAATCAGGACAGCCAAGCAAATCCTAGGGATTCAGTTAGCAACAGGGCTCTCCCTCTAATATGAAGGGTGTGACTAATGTTTATCAACACTGCACTCCGTATGGTTTCAAGAGGAGAGGTCTGCCACCCCCCTCCCCACCTGACCTTTCCCTGGGCATGCTCTGCAGGACAGGCTTGCAGACTTCAGGAGGATTCTTTTTGAGTTGCACAGAAGGAAATACTAGGGAAGGTAAAGGGCAGGTTTTTACCTAAAACTCTTTTTTTTTTTTTGAGATTTTTTAAAAAATTTATTTATTTGACAGAGAGAGAGAGAGATTACAAGTAGGCAGAGAGCCAGGCAGAGAGAGAGGGAGAAGCAGGCTCCCCGCTGAGCAGAGAGCCCGATGTGGGGCTCGATCCCAAGACCCTGGGATCATGACCCGAGCCGAAGGCAGAGGCTTTAACCCACTGAGCCACCCAGGTGCCCCACAAGGGCAAAACTATTTTTAAATAAAAATCAAGTATCTTTTAGGGCCACCTGAGTGGCTCAGTGGGTTAAAGCCTCTGCCTTCGGCTCGGGTCATGATTTCAGGGTCCTGGGATCGAGCCCCGCATCGGGCTCTCTGCTCAGTGGGGAGCCTGCATCCCTCTCTCTCTCTCTGCCTGCCTCTCTGCCTACTTGTGATCTCTGTCTGTCAAATAAATAAATAAATAAAATCTTTAAAAAAAAAAGTTTTGCCCTTCTGAATCACATGATATTTTGAATTATATGAAATTAATACATTAAATTTAAATTATATTAACTTACCTTTTGGAGAGCACACACAAAAACACCATATCCCTGTCTTTAACCACCCTGCCTTTGATAGAGAACCATTGTCAACATTTTGGTGAAATTAGATTTTTTTTTCATCTATGAATAAACAAATATGTGATACCTTTAATGTCTAGGTATGAAAGTTCCCTTTTCTGTAACTTTATAGACACTGTTTTATCCTTTTTAAAATAGATTTTATTTCTAAGAGCTGTTTTAGCTTCACAGTAAAATTGGGAGGAAAGTATGGATGTCCCATGTATATTTTGCCCCAAACATACACAGCCTCTCTATTATCAACATCCCCCACTGGAATGGAGGCATTTGTGACAGTTGATGTAGTGACATTGACACATCATTATCATCCAAAGTCCATAGTTTACCTTAGGGTTCACTCTTGCTGTTGTATATTCTGTGGGTTTGGACAAGTGTATAATGACATGTGTTATCATTATAGTTTCATACAGCGTAAGTTTCAATGCTCTAAAAATCCTCTGTCCCCTGCCTATTCAACCCTCCCTCCCCACGAACCCCTTGCAGCCGCTGATCTTTTTACTGTGCCCATAGTTTTACCTTTTCCAGAAAGTCATATAATTGAAACCATATAGTATGCAGGCTTTTCAGATTGGCCTTTTTCTCATAGAAATATGCATTCATGTTTCCTCCATGTCTTTTCGTGACTCGATAGCTCATTTAGAGTTAGCACTGAAAAATATTCCATTGGCTGGATGATTCACAGTTTCTTTATCCTTTTGGCCATTGAAGGACATCTTGGCTCCCTCTAAGTTTTGGCAATTATGAATAAAGCTGCTATAAACATCCGTGTACAGGTTTTGTGTGGACAGAAGTTTTCAGCTCCTTTGGGTAAACACCAAAGAGTGTGATTGCTGGATCGTATGGTAAAAGCATGTTTCATTTTGTAAGAAATCACCAAACTGTCTTCCAGAGTGGCTGCACTGTTTTGCATTTCCAGCAGCCATGAGTGAGAGTTCATACTGCTCCACATCCTCACCAACATTTGTCTTTGTCCGTGTTCTGGATTTTGGCCATTCTTACAGGTGTCTAATGGCATCATTTCAATTTGCATTTTTCTGATGGCATGCCCTGTGGAACGTCTTTTCATATGCTTATTTACCAGATGTATGTCTATCTTCTTTAGTGAGGAGTCTTTAAGGTCATTGGCCCATTTTTTAATCAGGTTGTTTCCTTATTGTTGAATTTTAAGAGCTCTTTGTATATTTTGGGTAACAGTCCTTTCTCAGATGTGTCTTTTGCAAATATTTTCTCCCAGTCTATGGCTTGTCTTCTCCTTCTCTTCACAGTATCTTTCCCAGAGCAGAAATCTTTCATTTTAATGAAGTCAAGCTCATCAGATACTCCTTTCATTTATCCTGCCTTTATTTGGTGTTATATCTGAAGAGTCGTCGCCAAACCCAAGCTCAACTGGATTTTCTCTATCATGTCTTCTAGACACACCCATTGCTTTTGCATTACAGTCTTTGCCATTTTTAGGTGAAAAGAGGATGTGGTTTTAATTTAAAGTGTTACCTTTTCTGATATAGATAAAATGTTTCTGTATCATTTCTTTTTTAAAATAAATTTCCTGGGTATGTCTTTTGGTTTTTATTCCTTTCAGCATCATGTTTTTTCCTTTCTTAAATTTATATTTAAATTTAATTGAAATTTCTGTGTTAAAGATGTTCAACACCTCTTTATCATGGATATTGCAAATACTTTTCCTATTTACCTTTTACATTTTTTTTAATGTAGTTTATTGACTTTGGATGTTTTTGTTTTTACATGGACAGGTGTACCAGTTTTTTTCTTTGTCTCTTTTAGCTTTAACAGCATACCTACTTCAGTTGAATAACAAATAATTCATAACTCAACTAATTATCCAAATAATTCATTGTAAAATTGTGTCAATTGATATTATTATACTGAGGTAGATGCTTTTATAATGAGTCTATTTACATATCATAATTTCTTTTCCAGTTACAATTAAATAATTCTGTATTTCTAAATTATTCA